GGGCTCGGCCATGCTGGGTAGCTCCATAGAGGACAGGAGATGTTGGAGAACATCCCCAGGAAAGCCCACGGCCATTATGAAAGCAGTTCAGAATGAAACATCGAACAGCTGAGCCCTACAACAATGTCTATACATTTGTACTTTAACTGCATCATTTTGTTGTGGCTATTGTACTTTGAGAAAAACTGTAAGTTTGAGAAAGGTCCAGGGTGTTCACATGATTGACGAGGAGAGACTAAAACTTCTGCAGAGATGGAGGGTAGGGTTACTGATGACGAGAGCTGATAAATCATAAACTAGGAATAATATCAAATAGTAGAATAAGAAATCCATGGATGCTGAGAGCAAGAGCCACGTGCTTTAAAAGAAACACACTGTGATCAAGTTGTGGCTAATAGACCTGTAGCCACTGTTTAAAAGGAAGCAGACCACGTGGGCTAAAAGCCCCACTTTGAGACTGTGAAGGGAACTGTGTTTTTTATTATAATGTCCCTGGGTATCACAGGCTTGGATGGGTGCAGCCTGGGACATCATTTCTAGGGTCCTTGATACGGTGCCAGGGAATTTTTTCACTTATATACTAGCATTTTCCAAAATGGATCGGAGGTGGCATATATACAGACTTTAACAAGCACTAAGAGGCTTAGGGGAGGCTTAGGGGAGGGAGCAGATGAGAAGCCTGGTCTTCGGGTCCCCTTTCGCATGACCCCATCTTGTCATCAGGCAAGACATTGGCTCCCAATATGAAGGGGGGAGTGCCTACTAGCTCAGGGCTCTCAGTAGTGGGGTGCACATTTCCTCCACCCCAGGGAGAGCACCAGCAGGCACTGATGAAGGATGGTAAGCTGTGGGGGACACCAGCTATGTTGCCAGCCTGACTGAGCATGTGTAGTCACAGGGCTCTCAGGCTGGACTCCGATAGTGCACTGCCCGGGAGGCTCAGCAGTGGCCAAGGAGTAACCCTTCAGAGACGCCACTTCACCCAAATAGAGCTCTGAGTAACTGCCAGATCATTCATCCCACCTAAAAATGTCAGCCTCGGGCCACGCATGGTAGTTAGTCCTGCATAGCCCACAGTGAGGGCCTAGGGCCACTGAGAGCACCTGGAGGGGTTGCAGGAGGGTCACACTTAGGAAATTTCAAAGCCCCTGCAGCATTATGCCCAGGAGGATAGTCTGCCCATGGAAGGGGCTGAGGGAGCATCTGGCAGGGCTCTGGCACTGACAGTGAACTCAGGTGGAGAGCCCCAAGTCCTAAAAGGAGCAAAGAGGCTGTGTGTGGGGACTGGCAACATTTCAGTGTGGTGTTGTCCAGCAGGACTGTAGTGGGAAGTCGGAATGACGATAGCAGCAAGCATGACCGAAGACAGGGTCTACAGGCCTGCGGTAGCTTTCCCTGCTGCCCAAGGAGCACGGGGGTGAAGTCACACACATCCAGAGCCAGGCAGCTTGCTCGAGGCCCCTCTCACCCACACACCCATGGGAAAGCTCAGCTGTTCTCAGGAACCCTGAGGGGCCCACCAAGCTGTGCTGCCTGCAGACTTCGCCCTGGCTTTCTCCTCTGCTCCAGGCTTCTGACACAAGTCATCAACATCTGCAGTTATCAGAGGCTCAGAAAGACCTTTCGCCTCTTATAGGTGGCGACCTCTGAGGCCCCATTCAGCGCTGCTTGCCCTGCTCTCAGTGTGCCTCTTTGGGCACATCAGTGAGACCACAGACATGAAGAAATAGAGGTGAAGCAGCGAGAGGAGGAACAAGGAGAGTCGGAGAAAGGAAAGGTCTGTAGAGTGAGCCAGACTGAAGCTCATGCACGTGAGAGGCAGTGGGAAGGGAGCACTTATGCCCAGCAAGGCAGAGCCCAGGCATCGCAGCTGCTGGCGCTGGGGCTGGAACAGCCCATCAGCCCCCACACTGCAGGTCCTCATTACAGACCCTCCTAAAGCCTCACAGTTGGTGTCTGTCGTGTACTAGTTACAACAGAAAGAGCCAGGGGGCAGCGGGGGAATGGCAAGGGGACAGTGCAGAATCCTCCGTGGTGACTGCACCCATCTCATAGGCCACTTCGGGCCCCCTGCCTTCCAAGGGCCTGTTAGAAACCCAGCTGGGCACAGGAAATGAACTTGGGAACCTCAGTCTCGTGTCTCTAATCTGCAGAGTGCTTTCACCACAGGGCAAATGCAGTGTTTCACAGCATACTCAGTTTATGGGGTGGGGGTGGAATAAGGACAGAACGGAATTTTCCACCTTTAAGGTAAATTAAAATTACACTTGGAAAATTCTGCAAAGGAATTGGAAACTTGCGTGTGGTGGCCTGAACATAATAGAGCAAACCAGATAGAATGGCTGAGATTTCATAGGCTTTTCACCTATGGAAATGGCTGTTTCATAGGGTCCCCCAGTGTCACTGTACAGGGTCCTTTGGAGCCGCAGCTCTGAGGAGCCGAGACTCTCCTTTCATAGGCCAGGCCAGGTGGCGTTTAAGTGTGGATCGTGCCCAGAAACTACAGTGGAATGAATGAGCGAGCGGGCAGTGCCCATGCCTGCGGCGGGGCCCCGTCGGCGCGTGCTGCCTGTGCCTGGCTCCTGCCTCCCCAGGCCCCGGTCACACCATGTGCTTTCCCTTCCTCCTTCTCTCCCCCTGCCCACCCCCTGCCCACCCGCTGGCCAGGCGCTGGGGACTCAAGGTTGGCTTGCGTAACAGGTACTAGCAGGCATTTCCCCCTCCTGGGACAGGATATCCTGGCGCCCTTCAGTCTCTCCCTGACTGTTTAAAACAGACCGGAGCACAGGAAAAAACCTAACTCTAAAATTAGCAGCATGATAGAAGAAAGGCACATAGCTGCATTCTGTACTGTTTGTCAATGAAACAAGTCTAAACAGGGCCAAATGCATTTCCTTTTTGGGCAAAACAGACCTGTTGGGAGTAATGGTCAGACACCAAGGGGAGAGGCTGCCTGTGGAAGCAAAAGGAACCATCTGAAACACCGTGGGCTGCCCCTCGGTGCTTCTGGCTTTTTCCATCAGCCTCTGCCTGACTGACTGTTTTTTAATAGAGCCTGGTTCAACCTTCCCAGAGGTTGTGCTGGCCTGGAAATACCTAGGAAAGGAGCACAGTACCCCCTGCTCCCACCTCGCCAGGACAGGCCCCCAAAACACCTTTGGCAGCCCACCCCCGGCCAGGGTTTCTGCAGGACAACTTGATTTTAATTATTGGGGCTTCCCCCCCCTTTTGAGTTTTAAAAAAGTGTTATTTGTAAATAACACTATCATGTTCTAAAATAAGAGTTTACAGAAGTAAAATGTCAGTTTCACACCCAACACATAATATTTCTCCTAATAGTTCTACATAAATAAATGTTTCAGAGGAATTTCTTGAGAAATGCAGCAATGACTGATTTGATTATCCTGCTAGGAGTTATTTTCAGATCAGGAAATGTTACTTTCATTTCCTCAATGCCACTAAAATATCAGTTTTTAATCTAGCTTTTCCAATCACGTTTCGAAATCTTCCACTTCCTTCTCGAAGGGATGGAATTTCAGATAACCCCACATGATGGAAGACAGGTTGAGTCACTGAGGTGATGAGACCAGTTCTGTTTTACAGCCCTAAGGTTAGCAGAGGGCAAATGGGTACTTTTCCTAAATCACTTGGAATGTCTGGGTTTCTACCCACAGCCATGGAGGAGGGGTGGAGGCAGAGGGATCTGAGAGCCCACTCCACCTGCCTCACTAATTCCCAGAATTATTCCAGTGGGGGGCAGACTTCATCCTTGCCTTGCAGTTGAGTAAACTGAGGTGTAGATTGGGTCACATGGATAATAACTGATAGAGCCAAGATGCAATCCAGTCCTCTTCACACCAAGCCCTATGCTCTCCTCTGGTCGGCCCTCATCTACTACCCGCTCCTGCATCCAGCCCTGGGGAAGTGATGGGCCCAGGACCACACCACCTTCCATTAACCACATAGGTAGGCCTTTCTGATTCCCACCCGGGTGCTTTCCCGCATACGAGCATTTGCCAGTCAGCCTCATTCTGGAAATTGTGTTTCTTCAGAAGGATAAGGGCTGTGATCCATGATTCCCAGAATGATTCACTTCAGACTTCCTGCCATTCCTTCTACTGGGCTTGTTGGAAACACACCTTCAACATTGGGACACGCAGCCATTCTCCATCGAGCACATCAGCTACTAGTGCCCCCGTGCCCTGGCCACTTCATCAGTCTCTGTCCCCATGGAACCATGGACCCCACTTTTCCCCAGTAGGTAGTGGGAAGCCTGAACTTCCCAGGTTTCCACGATTGTTAACCCTGAGCCAGCAAAAAGGAGCAGAGGTCCAGAGAAACCAGCAGAGCAGCCCCCCACGGTGCCTCCATGGCCACTACAGAACCTCCCTGGGCAATTTCATTCGCCATTTACAGTGACACCATCACATTGACCCTTCCAAGACCAGAAGGTGTGTTCATGCCCAGCCCCATTTCACCGTACAGTCACACCTGGTGGCTTCCAAATTGTTCCAAAGATGCTCACTCTCTGATGGTCCTGGGCCTGGTTGCTCTGTGGAAAAGCAGGCTGTCTCACCCCACCAGGCACAGGCTCACATGCACTTGCCCCTCTGCCCAGAGCAGGCTGCTTCACCACTCCTCCAGGCAGGGCATGAACCCAGGCCCCCCGCCACATGGCTTCAGGGGGACAGAGAAAATGTCAGATGCTGAAGATTTTGGAAGACAGAGCACATCACCCACGTGCCAGCACCTTGTCTCAAAATGGAAAAGGGCGAGGGCCATAGCGACAGAGATACAAAACCATTACTGCTTGAATCCTCGGCGCTCCCCACCCATGTGTGCGTGTTCCTGTTTTGCTCCTGCCCACAGTGATGGGTGGGGCAGGAGGGTGACCCAGGGGGTCGCTATGACATTAGAAGGCCACAGTGGGCCTTCCAGCACCAACAGAAGCTGAGGGTGCTGCCACTCCGTTTGCCTCTCTGGGGCCTGGAGGTACTTACTTGCCAGCTGGAACGCAGCAGCCATGGCCTCCTCCCAGCACTGGGAATCAGGCGACATCAGGGGCAGGCCTGTCAGCCCCAAGATGAAAGTGAGCTGGCCTGCAGCGAGGGCCACCGTGGCAACCAGGTTGCAGGCACGCATCATGTCGAATTGCACTGTGAGGGGCCAAGAGGAAAGAAGGCAGGTGGTCAGTGCAGGGCGGGCAGCTCGGGGATGGGGTTCTCTCTCCTCCTGGGGCTCATCCCTCTGCGCTGACAACCTCACTGATGTCCCTCTGCCCCCAACCTCAGGCTCCATGTACTCTTCCCCCACCCACACCCAGTCTAGAAGTGAGGCACAAGTGACATACACAGGGCAGAGGGAGGGGCAGACCAGCACTGCGGATGAACTGCAAAGGCAAGGGGCAGGGGCAGCAGGTCCCTTCTCTGTGGCCCTTCTAGACTATTAAAGTGGCCCCACAGAGCCAAGTGAGGACTGAACCTCCTGGGCCCCACCCCACCCAGTGTCAGGCTGTGAGGGTTCCTGTCATGCACTCATCCAGCCAGGTAACGTTCAGATTTAGCGCTTGTGGAGCCTGAGTCAAATGGAGGTGTTGTGCCACTTCCTGCCATGGAGAGCACTCCTCCCCATTGTGTCTCAGCTGCTTCCTTTTTGCTGTCCATCTGTCATTCAGAGCCTGAAGGATCTCACCCTTCCCTAATCCCGGGTCTCCTCCAGTGCCCACTCTGGCCTGGGGGTGGCACCACTGGCTCTGAGGCCAGGGTGGATGCATCAGGAGAGTAGCAGAGGCCCCGGCTTCTAGGGCCAGAGCTAAGGGCCAAGGAGCATGAAAGAGAGAATGCACTTGTCACTAGACGCATGACAGTCACCACCAAATGAACTTTTTCACCTTCCTGAGTGGAGCCTGGTGGTGCAGACAGGTGAACCTGTGGGTTTGGCTCTCTCAATCACTTCTCTCACAGGCACAGCCCCCTTCCCGGGTGGGCTGCACTTCCCATAATCGAGCTCACAGTCTGTAATCTTTAGAGTAACCACAGAAACAACTGCCATCACCATCAACCCTGACACTCCTCTCTGACCTTTCACAGTGCCAGGAGACAGGAGGCAGGGGTTGGGAAAAGTTGGGGGAGCCCCAGTGGCAAGTAGAGCCAGGCCTGGTGTGGTGGTGGGTCCAGAGCTGGGAGAAGGAGCAGACACTGGGAGTCAAGAAAGGCATCAGTGGTCTTTGAGCCTTAGCATGGGGGGGG